CATGCAGCGTGAAAATCCGAAGCCACCAGGATTCACGTGCATTATCTCGAGCCCTCGAACAACTCTCTCATCTTCTGGAAGAAGAAACAGACCACGGGAAGGGTAAGGGATTGGCCCAAAGCCAAGATCCAAACCCAGGCCGTATGGTGCCGAACTCTGGTCACTCCTCCTGCTGCACCTGTAGGAGACAACTGGGTTGTCTGTCTTCTAAGTCGACTTACATTTATGTACATTTTCGATGTCGGCCGGGTCCTGGAGAATCTCAGTGAGGCCTTCCAGAAGAAGGGCTGCCTTATGGTAGCGATAAATGATGTCTTCGGTCTGCTGAAACATCTCATCCAGGGCGGCAGACTGAACCTGAAGCCAAGTTGGCAGAAATGAGAAGAGTCCCAACTTTTCCCAGAAAATATGAATCTATCTGGGCAATGCAGCTTTTAATGGAATCTATCTAAAATTAACACATTTTGACAAAATGATATCCTCTACCAAACTATATAAAACTCAAAAATTCATCAGAGAGGCAAAATAAAACAGGAGCTTCTTGACGAAAGAGTTTGTCTGCGATCTCACGTCATCTCAGATGCAGGACTCGCAAAACTTAGGCTCCTGAACTGGCTCTTCTAGGACTGCACTAAGAAGCTTCTTTTAAACATACACTTTCACACTAGTGCAGCCTGACACTTCATTAAAGTACATTTTGTAATAATAATGGGGCGTCTGGGTGGCTCAGTGGGTTAAATCCTCTGCCTTCGGCTCAGGTTGTGATCCCAGGGTCCTGGGATAGAGCCCTGTGTCGGGCTCTCTGCTCTGCAGGGAGCCTGCTTCTTCTTCTCTCTGCCTGCCTCTCTGCCTACTTGTGATCTCTCTCAGTCTGTCAAATAAATAAATAAAATATTTTTTAAAAAAGTACATTTGTAATAAGATAACTAAGTGGTGTTAAAAGAAATCTCTTAACTTGTTTTAACAAAAGCATTTTCAAAAGGGTGTAGTTGTTCATTCGTTCAGAGATGTGTGCTGAGCACCTTCCCGTGTTCCTGGCACTCTGCACATGGTGAAGGAGAGCGCACCATCTAGAGGGACGTGTGGGGCTGGGGAAAATGGCATTCTAATGCCAAGGGATACGTGGTACTAGAGAGGGAGTGGTAGGGAATACACTCTGGGTGCGTCTAACCCAACCATGGATGGAGAGAAGATCAGGGAAAGCCTCCAGGAAGTGGTGTTTAGGCTGAGTCTGGAGGAGGAGCCGGAGATGTCCAGGTGATGAGAAAGGTGGGGAGGAGCTTTCCAGAAAGAAAGGACAGCAAAAGTATTCACAGGTTGTGAGTATTTCAGAAGTTTTCTCAACATTATTCTGAAATGAGGGCCCAGATGGCATCACTTAGGGTGAGTCAGCAAACCAGGACTTAATGCCCAACCTGAATGCAGTCTCGGTTGCTCAGGAATGTGACGTTTCCCAGTCAACACGGCATTTCCTAGTCAATGGACACATTCTGCTCCCCCTTAGCAGGGCAACTTTGCCCAAACAATGCACTTCTGACTAATAAATTCTGTTCTTCTTTTTTATGACCTCTCCTTCCCTTTTAAAAACCTTTGTTTTATTGAGCTCAGCAGAGGTCCCCACTGCTTGCTAGGTGGGATGCTGCCTGACTCGTGAGTCATTTAACAAAGACAGATCTCCAGTTTTACTTGGCTGAATTTTGTTTTTCAACATTCTCTTTAATCTTTAAATGCCAGGACTGTCAGTAATCCAGTATCCTAATGTATTTGTCGATATCATCTGTGTCTTCCAAACAATATTTTAAAGTCACTTACAATTAAAAAAAAATTGGGGTACAGAAAGTCCATTCTGAAAAGGAAGAAGAAAAAACTAACTAAAGATAGTGCTAGTATCAGTGAGTTTGCTGTGCAGCCTGGGCAAACTTACTCAAGCCACACTGCTCTTATTATCAGAAAAGAAAGAAGCGCCATAACTGCTTTGGAGAGAACATTTTTCCTGGCAAACTTCTAAAAATCATATACCATATGAAGTCTTAATTCAGTACAGAGTGACAGAATGCATATTATTCATAGCAATAGTTTAGAGCAAAATAATATCTGTTATTTTTATCAACAGCTTATATTCCAAAGTTATTTTCCTATGACTTGATAATGGCTTTCAAAATGAGGCCAAGAGTAATGTAACAGTACAATTCCAAGTGGACAAATTTGGAGGGGAGGTGGGAGAAAATAAGATTGGTCAATATTTCCCCCCACTTAATAACTTCTTTAACAGTCCCTAATTTCATCTCTACTTCAGAGCAATTTCCCCCCCATGAGACAGAACCAATATTTCCAATAGTACAACAATACAGTTGGAAAAGCAGATTTTACTTTGAGTCTTTACTCAGGTAAGGTCAGTAAGCAGAGTTGGGGCACATGCGCTGGTGAACAGCAGGATTTCTCCTAATGTTTTACTCCCAAATTTCTGAAACAGTAGAAAATGCAGAAAATGCAGATCTAGCTAAAGCCTTTAGATGCAAAGTATAAAAAGATTAGACTGTGCCTAATGTGAGCAATTTTTAAGAGGTACAATAAAATGTCACCACGTGTGGTAGCCAATGTCACTTAATGTGTTTCTTGGGCTAATGACATCCAGTTACCCCTGCCATTAAGAGGGAGTCACAATGTTTGGGGCTTGGGAATGGTTAAGGGCAGAAACTTTTTTTTAAAAGGATAACGTCAAAGGGCGCCTGGGTGGCGCAGTTGGTTAAGCCTCTGACTCTTGGTTTCGGCTCAGGCTGTGATCTCATGGTCGTGAGACTGCGTCCTGAATCGGTCTCGGCGCTGAGCACAGAGTCTGCTTGAAACTCTCTCTGGCCCACCTCACTAGTGTGCTCTCTCTCAAAACAAATACATCTTTAAAAAAAATAATAAAGGGAAAATGCCAAGTAGGTATTCAACTCAGAAGATCGGCCTATATAATATTCAATATTTAAAAGGGTTGCCATTTCGACAGCACAAGTATAGATGAGTTTTTCTGCAGTCACGCTGTTGATTTCATCAATAAATCTCTGTTTGTCAGAGAAGAAGCAATTCAGCTTTTCTGTAAGTTTCTTGCACATGGTGATGCAGAATTTGTATCGTTCATTCAGATTTTTGACTACTGGAAAGAAGTTGAGATGAGAACTAATTTTAATTTTCCTCCCAAAATAAAAATAAAGTCACGGTGACATGCACCTTTTCTGCCAATTTAAAGAAAGTGGCACTAAATGATCCTGGGGGGGAAAAATGACCAGAAATCAGGTTCTTTCATGGGTTCTCTTCCAGTTAAGGAAAAGTTGAGAATAAAGTCCTTTTGGCTGTTCTCTGTATCAATTAAATGGCAAGAGCACAACCCAGAAAAGTCAGAATCTTTGCCCATCTAAGAGTTTTTACTAGCACAGACTCCACATCAAACTCTCTCTCGGTGTAAAGGGGAAGAGGGAGGTGCGAGGGCACAGGCATGGGTGCAGGTACTGTCGCACACACCTCGTACCTTGTTTCACAGCTGTGGATGGGCTCAGCTTCCTGGACTTGATCTGGGCTTTGGTGAGATGCAGAGAGGCTGCTAAGAGCTGTGCAGCTTTCATGTATAACACCAGCTGCTCCACGTGCCTGCACCGGAAGGAAGGCAGAGAGTGTTATCCTGCGAGCCAATGCCCCCCACTCCACCCTCTACGCATTGGGTCACCAGAGAGCATTTCTAAAGGAGTATCATCCTCCTTGACATTTTAAAAAATATATATTTTATTTATTTATTTAACAGAGAGAGAGAGAGAGATCACAAGTAGGCAGAGAGAAAGGCAGAGAGAGAGGGGCAGGAGGCTCCCCACTGAGCAGAGAGTCCAATGCGGGGCACGATCCCAGGACCCCAAGACCATGACATGAGCCAAAGGCAGAGGCTTAACCCACTGAGCCACCCAGGTGCACCCCCTTTGACATTTTTAATGCACAAATAACTCCTGAAGGAAAAAGGTTCAGCACAGAAAAAAGCATGTGTGAAAAGACTCGAGAACCAATACAACCTCTTCATCATCAAATACCTTCAACAGTATAAGTCACAAGGAAGAGACAATACTAAGGCTGCAGAATCTTCAAGTCTTGGCTCACAAGTGGAATCTAGGCCAGTGACATAACCAAGAGCTCCCTTGAGACACATGAGACACATGAGCTTCATGAGACACAATCTCTAGTGTCTGACAGGACCTCCAACTCAGACACAAATTTACAGAAAGCAGGGAGAATTTGGAAGCGAATGACAAAGGGGGCACATACCCCCAGTCTTTGCACAGCTGGCTCATCTGGTCCATGACCACACTCTCCTGGATCTGGTACAAGGAGACAGCGGATGTGCACAGCTCCTGGTGGCCGCCCCGCATGGCCATCAGGTCCAGCACACACTCTGTGAACATCAGCATCACGTTGA